TTTTCAGGCTACCTCAACAAGCAAGAGATCAGCTTTTCAAATAGCTCTGCCTACTTAAAGACTACCACAGTTAGATCTTCCATGTCCTCTCAGTCTGTGACTCCTGACATTTCACCTGCAAAGAGTAATCTAGGTTCAAAACTAAGCCCTGTATTGACTGATGGCAATAGTCCTATACACCAGCTGAGCCCTGCAAGGCAGTATAACAACCCTATTGGCCTTTACTCAGCAGAGACTCTAAGGGAGATGGCTGAGATGCATAAGTTAAGTCTCAACCGAAGGGCTTCGGAAGGTGGACTTCCTAGAGGGTAGGTAACCTGGTAACATATTTAATATTTCAATTAAGTAATGAATTTGCTGAAAAATGAATGTAATAATACCTACCCTATTGTGCATTTGTCTGGTAATCATGATTAAGGTCTGGAACAATCATTAAATTTTCCAGTACCCCCCAAAACATATATGCAGTACCATTACAGAATAACTCTTGGTCTTTGGTATCTGAATTGCAATATGGATTGGCAATAGTCACCAGAGCATGAAGAGGAACACTATGACTGAAGTAACTGTGATGATCTCAGGGTTCTGGCATTTAGCGATTTAACTAATGCATGTAGTCTCATAGAACCAAGTATCACTGTCGGCCGTTATAGAAGCTGCTATAAAACAGATCTAATCTTTGGCACTTTCCTGAAGAGAAATTGCTTTGACCAGCAAATCTGACATGCTAGTCTGCTGGAGTGTCCCGCTATAATTCCTGCCTTAACATATTGGCTTTCCTATGCAAAATGAGTCAAAACTGCAATATTTTGAATCGTCTGGTTTGAACATGGTCTGTCTCACGTTAGCTTTGCTCTTAACTTGTATGTAACAAGGAATGATCTCTAAATACTACCCAGATAGTTTGATCCCACGTTGTCAAGGTTTTCAGTGTTACTGTATTGCAGATCAACTGTTTTATAAGTACGTTTGTGAAGTGAGGCGCTTGGACTACAACACACGAGGAAAAGCAATGAGAAGCAGATTTTCCTAATTTTTCTGCCTTCATGTATTAATTTGCAAACAAATCTGTAATTTTTTTATTTGTGTTTATTTAAAATGAAGATAAATTTCTTATTATGAATATAGGTAAAAGTATACTTTCGACACCAGGGACTTGGCTATATGAGGAAAAACAGAAAATTCAGACAATCCACTCAAGGTCTGATAGCAAATGCATATTTTCAAGTATTTTATATCCCATTGCGGGACCTCTTTGCAAGAGTAAAACCAAGGGGTTTTAAGTTGTAGCAAAGTAAGGATATTTTATCCTTATAAAAGAGCATATATACATGTTCTAGATGATTCAAGCAGTTTAGATGATTCATTGTAACTCTCTTGAGCACTTGGCATTAACAATCCTAATTAACTTATCTGAAAAAATCCTATCCTCCCTTCTCATACTGGATAATTAAGAAAGGCAATTACTGTTTAAAAGAAAATAATTTCAGTTAGTAAGCAAGATCAGCAAAATAAACCTCAGAATGCTTCTCTCTAACAGTTTTCTTGAGGAAAACTAATCCTTGTCTTATTTAAATATGCAGAGTTTCCTCGCAGTATATCTCCCTTTCTCTCATTGTCTTCACAACCCTCCTTAAGATCTGCAAGGGTGAGGGTAAAGGGGCTGTATTTTTGATGGCTCAGCATTTTGACTATTTTTTGTTATCAAAATTACAACACAGCTGCATCCATCACTCACCAAAGTCAATGTGAACCAGTCTATTGATTCCAGAGGGCATTGTGATAGGACTACATAATATGACAGTGATTGTTGGGGTGCAGAAAACACTTCACTGTCTTCACTCTGTGCTTTTCCGTGTTTTATGTCTCCTTTATATGTACCCACATTAGTGCACGCCAGTGGCAGTGCACTGAATTAGAAAGCAAGGTTCTACCTTAGAACAACCATCTGAGGTTGGTTTTTTTTTAGTTTGAACAAAATTTTAGGGAATTGCTGTCTATCTGCCTGTAATATCTGTAGCACTGATGAACAAATAAGAACATTTATGAGACATCATCTAAATATTCTGCTTAAAAAATTCAGCCTTTATCCTGCAGCCCAAGAACAATCTGAAAGGATGAAAGAGCCCAGAGCTACTAAGTACATGTGTCTTTTCAGGTAATTCCTCTGAGATTTAGAGAATTGTATATCTGTTTACATGCAGAGAAAATTCAGAGTTCAATAATCCTGTCATTCCCACTTCCACTTGAGTGTTACCCATGAAGTGAGAGGCATCTCTCCTACTGCTCTGTGGAGAATAACATGGAATCTGTAACTACCTTGGGACTTGCTATCATCCATGATAGTCTCAGTCTCATTGTGGATATATGTGAAAGAGTGCACAAGGAAAGCACTGTAAGCTCTGCAAAATCAGCTCTTGACTTTGTTGTGGACATTCTTATCATATAGTACAACATGAGATGCTGCGTAAAGATTGGGAAATTATGGTGCTCCCAAACTGTGAACTTATTATACATTCAGGAGCATGCTCTTAGCAGTATCGTAAAAGCTATAAGAAAATTCAGGTTTGGGTGTTGATCTTAAGGTATATTTCATATTTCAATTTGGTGTCCTTTCCACCAAATCGTTTAAACTTAATTGTGTGAATTGCTGTTAGAGGTTTAGCTAAACCCTTTGGAAAATCCTATCAGAAAGCAAAAATTAATTTTGAGATTATTTCCCTGATCTACAAAGAATAACAAAGCATCTGTTTCTCTGTTACATTTTTACATTAAAGCTTTATCACCCTGGCCGAGGGCGAAAAATAGAGGTGGCCTGTTAAGAGTGTGGAACTTGATGTGCTGAAAGCTCTGGAAAGGAGAGTATTAATAAATACGAAGAGTGAGTCATAGCTTGTAACATGTGGTTCTCTTTCATTCCAGTGTAAGTTATTTTTCACATTGTAGGTCAAGGGCTGTAAATACCTGTCCCACAAGTACGTGCCAGGTGGCTTAAGTTACTGGCTTCTTACTGTGTGACCTCTGTGAGCAGCAAGTTGGGTGTTTCATACATGTCCGTATTTAGAATCAAGCTAAAATAATGTGTGGCTCTGAACTGGAGAGAATTTTCTCATCGCATACTGAACATAAGGAGAAGTAAAGCTTTACTCTTTTTGAGGGAAGCTATAGTAGCCTCTTCACATCTAAAAAATCTTTACTGAGACATGTGGCTGTTGAGCCGTTCTTAGTGTGTGCACATAATGATTTTTATCTTTGAACATATTTTTATATGCAAACACGTGGTTCGTCTAATTAAGGTGTATTTTAGGAGTGGTAGTTCTGCCTTTAAAATATTATTTTATGTGTAAGGCAGAGGCCTGGATTAGAAGATTGAAGCAGGCATCAGAGCCCACTTCAGAAAATGATACTATTCCACTATGTTTCATTGTAAGTGAGTGCCCCGCTATCCTGCACACACCTAAAATGGATATAGGATCACTTATGTGCTTACAGGCTACAGCTTGTTCCTAATACATCTCTACTGGTTCCTGCAACAGACTGATCTATTTGGCTTAATGTAGGGTTTATAAAGTTAGAATATTCTCAAATCCGAGAGTCTGAAGAACAGTAAGTGCAGGTGATCTGTCATTGCTTTTCCATGGAAATGCAGAAGTGCAAAGCCTTTACTGCAGCTTCGTCTCATTAGTGGTTTTGATCATGAAAAAGGCAGCTGCATGAGCCAATGCAAAAGGACTGTATGTAAAAAGAAGCAATAATATCAAAGGTTCGGCAAGGCAAAAGCACAAAGAGACAAATCCACTTTGAATGTCACTCCAACAGTATAACATTGCTGTCCAGTGTTCTGTATCAATCCCAGATCCAGAAATGTTGCAACAGCAAGTTGGAAGGTTCACTGCCCACTTCTGTCAACAGCATTCTGTGCAGCTAAATAAGAAGAAATGTTTATTAACCGATCCTGGACTCTCTTCCTCTTTATTTTGTGCAAAATATGATTAATTACTCTTCACTCAAGATATAAGAGCAAAATATGGATATTCTAAGCTTTGAAAAGAATAAGTTAAAAAAAAAGTCATAGCCCATGAATGCTATTCATGCAACTACAGAAAGAGTTATTAGCAAATAATATAATAGTACAGCCTGAGCTCACTATCTGTTCATTGCTCCCAGCTTTGTCCTATATTGTGTTTCTTTGGAATTACTGTGCAAGCCACCATCACTTCTCGTTTATGCAGCGAAGCAGGATGTAGCATGAACATATGTTTTTTCATACCGTGTACATACCAGATGGAATAAAATATCCTGATACGGATATCCAAAAAAACACATAATGCATGGACTTCCTTCATTTCACGTGGAATAAGTTAGGAATGACCATTCTGAAATTAATTGGCTTACACCACTGTTGGCATAATGTAGGTACAGTCAGATTTAGGCCAATAGTTTGTTAAATACAAAGGCATTTTCCTCAGTTTTAGATTTAAAACATCTACCAATATATTCTTTGGATATTCTCCAGCATGTAAAAGACCAAAAAATCAATCTTGCAATACCAGCTCTGAGGGCAGCCTGAGGAGAACAGACTTCATCCCTGAATATTTAGTATGTGAGGGAAGAATATAATCTCCACCACTCATCTGCTATTTTCAGATGAGAATATACTTTGCAAATGCTTCTTTCTTCTTCCCCACCCCTCTTCCTCTACACTTTGGTAATAGTACTTTTAGGGATGCACAGCAATAAAATCATGTTCAAGGGTCAGCCAAAATGCCATGGTACCCTACTAAGTCCTAGTGGATCAACTATAATCCCTACGTTTTTTCCTTTCTTAATCATGTTGGGGTTTTCAGGCATACATTTACTTTTTGTTCTTATTTGTGGATGGTCTGAAAAAAGCTTTAGTAAGCTTTTGTAAATACCCTTTGCCCTTTGCACTCTAAAAACTATTGACTTTTTCTGTGTGGTTGGTTTTGATGTTGTTTGTTCTCTTTCTCTTCTTTTAGGTCATAACCAACACCGCTGCCAAGTTAGTATCACTTCTATACAGTGCCAAGTATTTGTGTTATGCTGTATGTGTGAAGATTTGTTTTCTGGGGTAGCATGATCCCTTGTGTTCCTGCTGTGTCTACTTGCAAATGGAAGTACTTTTAAAAAATGGCAAGCATCATCAGCTGCCACTGGTGTCCAGCAGTGCTCCCTTCTAAGCATACTATGTGTTCGGCATTTCTTGATGATGTTCTAATGCTGCAAATGGAGTTAGCATCTGAGTTTGCTCGGTTCTTGTGAATGCTTTCAGATGTTTTTGTCTCTACAGTCTGGGTTTAATTCCTCCTAACTCTTTAAGTAGTCTTCATGCTTTCAGGATTTGGGGAGCCTTTTCTGAGCCTTTTTTGGTGTATTATTACTGGTGTATTTTTAGCCTCAACATTAAATTAATTTCCAAAGTCCCACTACACTAAAATTCAAATTTAGGTTGGTATGAGATACTGACATGGAAAAGATCTAAAAAGTACTTTACCTTAGTAAACATATTGCCCAAACAAGAAGCAATGATTGATTTAAAAATGTGATTGATCTGCTCTATTTAGGAAAGTTCACAGAGTCCTCATCTCTGATCGTTAGTTTTTTAAGGACAGAAGATTGTCTCTAAATTCCCACTTTCTGTCTCTGAACTGAGTGTTGTCCAGAAATTACTGGAGACTGGGTTAAATTCAGCATAAGATAAAAAATTATATTAGTTAAATGTCAAATTTAAACTGACAAGAGAAGGTTAGAAGTAGTAGAATACATAAAGTTGAAATCATATTTAATGCATATAATTTACACTGATCTGGCATTCTCTGTTGACTGCAATGAGGTGTGGGTGTTATGTCATGCAAATGATGTAAATCCTTTAGAGTGATGAAACTTCAGCAAATTTACATTGATAATTATTCTGTTATGATTGTCTTAGAAAGTGTCGTGGTTTAACCAGGACAGAAAGCAGAAGTCACATTGTCTGGGTGTTGTTCATCTTGCTTTGGGATTTATTCTTCCTGATCCTTTTCAAGCTTAGTAGAGCTATCCCATTCATTTTGCAGAGGTGCTCCAGCTGTCTCTAGGGTCTTACCTCTGCCACTTTGTCCCAGAGCACAGTACCCCTTACAAGCACTAGTGTCTTCTGTCTACTTCCAGAGTTAAAAAGAAAACTCTGCAGTTGAAAATCTGTACCCTTTTCTCTTATTGTTATGGGAATCTTGTTAACTTAGTGAAAGTTTTGCCTTGGTATGTGTAATGTGACTAAAACCTCTTGAAAGACATCACTGAAACTGTTTAAATACCCCAAGTGAAAGCCTAAATCACTACTGCTGCTACCATTAGCGAAGATTAGGCTGTTCTAAGATTACTAGCTTTTATTTGTGTAATTGATTGTGGAAACCAATTGCTTTGAACTTTATTTTTTAAAAGTGGCATATTTAACCTCTGTCTTTTCATTCACGCAATCTTCTCAGATTTTGGGTTTAAAATCTCTTCAATACTTCTAACAGTGTGGGGGAAAGAGAACACTAAATTCAAGATCTCGAGGACCTGTGTGTTCATAATTATCTTGTGATCATTTTGGATATTACAAAGAAAAGAGATACCATTGTTAAATTAAGGCATGTGCATGCTGAAAAGTTGAGAGTGTAACAACCTGCACATCTCTGCACATCACCCTTCAGCAGATGATGTCAGTGTAATAATAATAATATTGTCATAGTTGATGAATAGTTAATGGAGAGATATTTTAAATGTGAAAATGTCTTTGTAAAAAGGTGATTTTCACTTTTTGAATGCATAATGCATCTTCCCGGTTCCCTCCCTTAAAATGTTGGTGTGTGTAACTAAAGCACGTGCATATTTATGTCTCTGTTCCTTGAGCATGTGGCTGTTAATGTTCTATCAAATATTTTGAATGATGTGTGACTGTCTCTTACTGTCCATTTTCAGTCAGGGCATCCCACCAAACAAAAGGCTGAAAACATAGTGGAATCCCCTGCCTGGGTTCAGAGGTGGCACATCACCTTTGATAATCTCTGGAAGATCAAGTCAGATGACTGCCAGCTTTACTTGGTTTTCCTTCTTCCTCCATGCTGGGCTGAGAGTTCAAATTTAACACTCAAACATCCTCTGTGGCCGACCCACAGCAGACAGGCACACTATTGGTCCCTTGCCAACCAGAGAAGCTGTTGTTCAGTCACATGAAAAAAATCAGTGGAAGACAATATAATGGCTTTAAACTGAAAAGGAAAATTGTTCCAATCAAATGGGATTACATTTTTCAGAGTTTCTTTGGGGGGGGAGATATATGCATTTCCCGCTTTGGGGCTCAGTTCAAAATGAAACCTTTGTGAAATATCTGTTATTTCCCAGAGGACAGAATTCTCAGTTTTGCCCAGTTGAGTGAGTGTACAGAATCTATACTGCTGGCATCCTCCTGCTGCTGGCAGGACAGGAACAGCAGACTAGAGATCCACCTGATCTCCCATAGGTTAGAGAAGAGCAGCTACCTCAGTGACTGACAGCTGAGGTTGTACCTTGCTCATTAAACTCCAGGCAATACTCAGTCCTAACTCCAGGACTAGAACAATGTACAACTGGGCGCTACAAGGAAGCCAGGTGCTCTTTAGCAGCAGTCTGACATTAAACTGACTTGTTCTGTTGCAACGGGAGCTTCAGTTGACTTGCTCATGGCTCAGTTTCTCAAATAAAAATCCTTCCTCATAAATGGAGCCACTGGAAAATATGGCGGCTACTCTTCCAACTGCAGTTGTCCCGTTGATTGCAATGTAGGATATTTTGATCTGAGAAGGAGCATTTATCATGCTATGGCAACACTTATGGCTGGCTGTACAGAGATTTTGGGAAGATTATTTTAGTCTTTGTGAGGAAAGTTTGAAGATTAAAAGGCGCAAGTACTAAATTTCACTATGATTAATAATCCAGACAGAAAGTACTGGAACCTTCTAATTAACAGAGGACCGGACATCTTTCACCCCGTTGCACTTTCTAGCACTTTGTAAGACCCTTCTGAAAGAATGAATGGATGCAGTGAATAAACTGGGAATTCTCTGCAGTATGTATGTACATCCATGGGCATGCATATATACATGTGTGTGTGTGTATATGTTTGTATATACTTATATGTATATATGCATGTAAGAATAGAATTTTAATATATGTAAGTATCACATCAATACTTAGGGATTTTTCATGATTTTTTATACAATGACAACTGTTTCACATTTTTTTCTCTATATACATCTGCGAGCCAACACAAAAATTTCATCCATTAGCGCAGCCAGCTTTTAAGTGTTCCTTGTTACATACGTTGTCTCTTACCCTCTGACCGGAAGCTTTTGTGGTGAGATGCCGTGAACTGACATGCACGCTCCTCTGTTGGTGCTTTATCTCTCACTTGTCACGCCTTTCTCCTTTCTTCCCCTCCCTTCCCTGTTGAACCTCACTCTTGCATAACCCAGCAAGGAGTTCACGGAGCGTTTCAACCCCAATGCCCTGAAGGACTCTGCCCTGTCTACACACAAACCCATTGAGGTGAAAGGCCTAGGCGGCAAGGCTACTATAATTCACGCCCAGTATAACACCCCAATCAGCATGTATTCCCAAGATGCTATCATGGATGCAATTGCAGGCCAGGCACAAGCCCAGGGTGGAGAATTTGCTAGGTAAGGTTATTTCCTTGTGTGGAATGCTCTTTCTCTGCATGATACATCTAACAGTCCCTCCACGCGTGACACCGCAGCTCTTGCTGGACTTTTCTGTAGTATCTTACATGTGAAAAATGCAAATCAATCCTAGATAGTAGTTGAAAGCACTTCATTGTTCTGAAGTTAAAAGGATGGATAGTTAGAAAATGGAGCATTTCTTTTTTGGTATTCTTCTTAGAACTGGTAAACCCCACAAAAAATATATCTAGTGTTCTGTATATGACATGGGCTGGCTTTTCATTTATAATGACCGTGCTTTGTCATAACTACCATACTACATGCATAACTCAGAATGGGAAGGGGGAGGTAGAATTTTTATTGATATGTGAAGAATGCAAAACATTTATTTAGTACTGGCTACTGTTTTATTCTTTAGAATGGAGAGTTGTGCTGTATTATCCCTGTCCCTAGTTTACATACTGTACGTGTGTCTTACACACATCCTTTGGACTATGGCAAAATCCACTGATCTTCAATAATTCTGCTTTTCCAATGCATGTTTCTGGCAATCTTATCTGATAAACTTAGCCACAGTTGTTAGGACAGAACTGAAATTACATGTGCGATGAATGTAGCCAGGTTTCTCTCTTACTGGGTATCTTTCTACCCAACATAGAACTTACCTTCTTTTCTTGTGACACCAAAATATAGATATAGCAACACACTTTAACATAGTTTCTTTTCAATATGTTAGCTGCAGGCTTATTCAAAATGTAGATGTTTTATGTATTTGCTTGTACTCCCTTTTACTGGCCATTTCTTTTCTCTTTTTTTTTAATTTCCCCCCCCCCCCCAATTTTTTGCACCAATATTATTCTGTTGTTTGCCACAACTCTCCCTAATGATGGATCCCAAACAATACCTTTAGTTGGTTTTCACCATCTCTCAGTGAGTCTCCACAGGTGTACGTAGACTCATATTTCCAATTAGCAAAGTACAATGAAAGAAGTTCATTCTATCTGTGTTCTTCACAATGGTTCACATCTTTCATAGGCATGGATTACATGAGACATTTTGTGATATATTGGCATTTTCTACTAAATGCTGTAACATTATATAATGCAAATAGTACTGTTTAAAAATTTTACCTATTTAAATGATCAGATGATTATAAAGTTTCACTGCTGAGCATGTGAATCTTTTTCATTTTATAAAGAGCATTAAAAGAATCTCTCAAATGCAGTTCCAGTTGCAGGAGTGGCTCTGCTGGACTGGAAAACATCATCATCTTTTCCCACCCGTGGAAGAGATTAAAACGCAACGTGTTGTGGGGAGAGGAAAATGCCCTTTCTAGAAAATCCCAGATAGGGTGAGAGAAGTCCAAAGAGTGCAGCTAGAACTGGAAGATCAGCAGACTTTCCAGGCGAGTTAGGGATTTGTCGTAAGATGTAGAATTGTGAAGTAAAGAATCTGAATAACTGGAGAGGCTTGAATCATAAAACATAAGGTGGTAATGAATTATATTAGTATATACATATATCTTGAAAAGAGCCAAATGAATGGATAAATAGATAAAAAATTAAAAGATTTGCAGACTGTTGAGTCGTTGCACCAGTAGCAGCAAGAGCTGTGTTTAATGCCACTAGCAAAAGCTCTGTTCTAACTTTTTTTTTCTCATTTTGAATATGGAATCCACCTATTGCATGGGTGTTTATGAAGTGAGATGATTATTTCCATTAATCTTTTTGTATCAGACAGTTCTAGTGGAACATCATTCTTTGCAGACAACTCCATGACTATGTTATCCCCTGTAATGATGCAAAAAAAGTTTTTCTGCAAGATCCACTATATAAACTACCGTTTAAGCTTTTCCTTCATTTTGGAATGTGACTCCTAAGCCTAACATTCACCTGGTCCCTGAAGAAACTAGTGTTTCTATTCCTATGTACAGTCAGGTGCAGGGGACTCTCTAAATCTACTGTCCGGTGAGCTACAGCCTGGTTTGTAACTTCTTCTTTTTGAACTCGTAACACTTAGTGACTAAACAATTTTCTCAGTAGATTGTTTTAGTGCAATTAACACAGCATTTTTAATCTAGATATAAAGGCAAGGTTTGTGCTGATATAACAACGGCCTACCCATTGACTGATACTCATTCGATTAAACCTGTAACTCATTTCCTTCAGGTGTTGCTTTGACCTCTGTGATATTCTGAACTTTGATTTGCAGTGGAAACTGAGGATGTTCTTTAGTTTGCTTAGTTGATCAAGTATGAGATAAGATTATGCTTAATGTAGAAATATTTGTATGAGACGTTTGTCACGTAAAAGCAGACCAAATTGTGTACCAATTCATTTTTTCTCAATTCTCTGCCTAGAATTTGGTCTCAACACTTAATTACTCTTCTTTGGGCTTTTCATTTTACACTAGAGTTAAGGCTGAAGCCACAAGGTGTATGTAAGATGGTGAGCATACTCAGACTGTAGATCTAAAGGACTTCTGTTCTTTTGGGCAGTAAATAGCTAGAAACACTTCTTGCTTCTTTTATGAGTGATAAAGAATAGACAGGCTTAAAATAAGAATTCACGTTCTAGTTTGACCATTTGAAATTGGTGATGTTTTAACTTAAGTCAGTGAGATCAGAATCAGGCTCATCACTTAGAAAATAACCCACACCTACTGGATCATCATGTAAAACGCAAAGGAAAGCATATAAATTATTTATACTGCAGTTATTCAGACCTCATGCTGGAACTTAAAGGTAGAAAAATTTGAATGCCCTGACTTTATATCTTTTCTCACTCTATGTTGCTTTGTTTTAATTGATTTTGCTATACCAAGAACCAAGAGTTGGTTGCAGTAAAACCACGTGGTCCGTACATTTCAAGTACATTTCTGCCAAACCTTTTCTAAATTCATTATGCAGTTTTAGCCAAATTCACAAGTCATGTAAGTAGACATAAATCCAACAACTTTATCAGGATTAAGATCTGACAGTTCTAGTAGCAGAATCAATAATGTGATTGTACAAACTCAAGTCTCATGTATCCTCTACAATAAGTCAACTTGGCTGGATAATTTACCAGTCTGCATGAACTGTTTTTTTTGTTGAGTTGGGGGTTTTTTACCTCTTAGAGCTTTTTTTAGTAGTTGTCTAATATCCGAAGTCACAATATTGTGTTGTTTGTCTACATCAGGGGTAGAACACTGCAGTGTTCCTAAGTTTTTACTTCCTATCTACTTAAATGAAATCTGACGAATGACTCCTCCACTCCAGGGAGTGATTCACATGGTAAACCATGGTTTATAATGAACTCCAAGGAAAAAAAATCACATTGCTACTTATTCAAAGAGGTGTGACTGTCTTTAATCTTGTTTTAATGTTAATAATGTGTGACTTGTATGTTGATGTGAAAAAGGGGGACAATTTTTTATTGAATCCTACTAAAATACCTTAGGCTATAATATGAAAAACCCTCAAAAGCTGTAACGCATTTGGGAAGAATTTTTTTTTTTTTCAGTAACATCAATTTAAAGTAATATGCTTAAAGATGGATGATATTTCTGCACATACACACCCAAATGAAAAAAAATTAAATTAAGAAGAGGTATAACAGAGGTATTAACATGGTTATGTGGATCTTTAGGCTGTCTGTAAGAATCAACTGTCACATTTAGGTTTATGAAATGCTCATAATCAGCGATGTGCTCTATTTTATATTTCCATGCTGAGCGCCTCATAAGTCCTAGTTACTCATCTACAATATAATTATGATTTTAAAAAAAGAAAAAGGCCTGTTGCATTACAGACAGAGTTGGAAATATTCCAACGTATTGCATTAATTTAGTTAAATTTATATGAGCGTGTTCCACTCTGCTAGGGAAGGTTAATTCACCAAGCTCCATTTCCTGCCTTAATCATCTACCATAAGGAAATTAATATGTCATATTAATGCCACACATTGCTACTGTGAAATTTGTGGTCCAGCCTCTAGCGGTTTTTAACTACCTTTGAGCTAATGGCATATCTATACATACACTTTTAAACTGCTTTTTTGTATATTGGTCATAATATAAGAACAAAGCATTTCAGCTAGAGGATTTAAACAAAGGAATTTGAACTGTCCATGACATGCACACTGCTGTTGCCACAGTAGTCCATGGTTGAAATTAGCGGTACTAGCTATCCAGTGGTTTATTGTCCCCGCTACAACAGTCTGCAGCTGTGAAATTTGCTATCACAGCAGCTTTTTAAGCTTCAGCAGGATTAAAAAAGTAAGTCTGGGAATATCAAGTTAACTGTTGGCCAAAACCAGGCAGTCACCTGTGACAGTAATACAGGGCAAGGTACTGTCAGGACTAAGACACGGGCCTGAAGTGCCTCTGGGAACTTGAGAAGCGGACTTTAACTGGACCCTTTAGAGTGACAGAACTTTTCAGCGTAGCCAAAAGTGAGAAGTGGCAGCAGAACAGTCACAAGGGGGTTGCTGACTTACTGTTGGTATTACAGAGTATCTCTTTTCCATATGAAGACTACTGCTGCATGAAGTGAGCGGAAGGCAGAACTTGCTTCTGCACTTGCTTCCCTGCCTCAGCAAGCCCTTCTGCTGTGTATGAAGGGCCAGAAGAGGAAGGCTACTGCTCTCCCTTCCACCTTCCACCTGAAGAAGGACATGGCACTAATTTGTCTATTGGTGCACATAGGAGCAACACTAGCGGAAGCCACTGATGGCACACCCTTCCCAAAATAAACAAGTCCACATTATGCCTTCTATACCTGCTAGTGTTTAGATATTGTAAAGATAGTGGTCTAGGCAACATGAGCTAAAAAAGGAGCTGGAAAATGCTGCTTCCTCCTACAGGGCATCTTCCACGCTGAGAGTTTTTACATAACTTTTATGTTTTGTGGTGGAGCTTAAACTGAAGAGTCAGGCTTTCTTCTAAGCTATGCTCCATCATGTAGATTGTGCTGAAACATATAAAAGAAAAATAACTGGGTTTTGTACCCTGCTGGGTCCTCAAAAAAGTGAGAAGTTTGCATATACTGGGGGTTATGAGGAATATAAATACCCCTCTAATAAAAAAAAAATCCTAAAGAGATGGGGTGCTTTTGGGTCCATAGAATATATAAGCACACATCATGTTTCTGAGTCCCTTGCAGTCTTACTTGAAGAACACCTCCCATGCTATTGTTACATGCAAATCCATTAAAACAGCGTATATCATGCAGTGCTGAAGAAGAGGAGTGTCAGCTGGAAAATAACGATATTTAAGGCACGACCTGGCAGTATTTTTTATTATAGTGTATGTTATTGCTGTATGTAGGATATCAGACATGCTTCTTGGCTTTTTCATGATTCCTCTCAGGCTTTCAAACCACAAACCCAAATTATCTGTAGATTTTCTCTGCAGTGGTATCTTAGAGAACACGAACTTTGAGCCTGAACAAAGGAAGCAACTTTTATAGCAGGTGACTGCTCCTGGAACTTTATAGCAGTGACTTAGTTGGACCAAATGGCCCTTAACTTTTAACAGAGCCATTTCTCAATTTTCATGAAGTTGAGCATGCTGCTTGCAAAGCTCTATATGGAATAGAAAGTTAAAGCTGTTACAATAAATCACTTGCTTCAAAAATAGACCTTGTATTTAGAGAAGTCATGGAGCCAGGTTACTCCAAGCAGTCATCATCCCCCCCAGCGTGTATTTCTGCATCTCTGTTAATATTTAATTTTAACTGTATGCTATGCAGAAGTTATTTTCGCAGGGAAAAAAAAAAGCTATTAAGTTACTAAGTCTGTTTCTAGCTTGCATCATAAATCAAAGAGAGGTTATCTTGCTTGTGCTACAGTGCTTTGTAGCTTTGACTTTAGCTGTGCAAAATTGGAAGTTTCTTCCTGGATGTATCATTTTGCAAGGTGATTAGAGATGTCGTAAGACTCTGAGATACAATCTGCTGTTAAAGATTTCAGGTACAAAATACATGTGCAAGTCTTGAGTACAAGTCTAGACTTCTCATACTTCACATGTTTAGTAGACAATGAATCCAGAGTTATGGCAGCTGGAAGTTTAATTCAGAGTTTGGCAAGGAATAATCATCTCTAGAAAAAGCTATAAAAGCCTACCACATTATTTTTATAATGAAATATGGTTTTTATTTCTAATTGCAACCTTAAAATACACTGGCCCAAAACTGTAATAAGACATAACATAAAACAGTATCAACATGAAGCTGTTTTTATAAGAAATAGTATCGGACAAGAATGCTCAGAGAAATACATGTTTTTGCTTGGCATACTCTCCTTTATCACCACACATTATTCTAATGACTGTAAGCTTGTGGCTGCATTGGCTGAGGTATCATAAACAGACATTTACAAGCATTTTCACACTGTTTTGAATATGCAGATTTGAATGATAACAGGCCATTTCAAAGGTAGAATGAGCCATAGCATTCTTAATTCACATAAAATTGATCTATGTATTTTTTTTAAAAAAGTTATATTTTCAAAGCTGTGTTTTGGATTGCTGTTATTTTGGATGAGAAGCTGTAAGACCAGAGAGAGGTTGGGATGAAAGCTACCATGTCCTGTTTCACAATGTTTCACTTTCTGAATTGCAGTAGCCTTCCTATTAAAGATCCTCACATAGACAGTGCCTCTCCGGTGTATCAGGCTGTGCTTAAAACTCAGAACAAGCCTGAAGATGAAACCGAAGACTGGGGTCGCCGTTCTGCCAATCTGCAGTCTAAGTCTTTCCGCATCCTTGCCCAGATGACTGGAACAGAGTACAGTAAGTCAAATAACAAAACATCCCCCTCATCCTGATTTTAGATTCACGTCTTTATTTTCTTACCCGAGTATTAGCAGCTGCTATGCAAGGAAGACTCACATCCAGTTTGTAGTCATTGTCAGTGAGGGCTAAGATTGGAGAACCCTGTATCTAACTTGAGGGAACTAGGAAATCAAAGTGTTCAATCTCACCTTATGCTTTTTGGAGAAAATTCTTTGATCTGCCAGGGGTCTCACCATAAAAGTATAACAGACGATACAGTAAAAGAGCATTTGGGACCCCATAGTTCTTCTTCCAAATAAAATCAAATCTCTGCAGTGTAATCTTTCAATTTTCCAGCAGTCTAGACGTACAAAGCTGTCCATTCATTAGAAGAAAACATAAACAACTTACTTATGTCTCTTGTAACGGTCTTTTATGGAAGTGACCACCATTTGTATTGAACCTATGGTTCTATCAGCCCTGTTATCTAAACCTAGGTCTGCTATGAATGTCATGGGAGCTTGAACTTTGTTGCCTATGCAAATGTTTTTTTCTGACCACCTGGTACTAACCTCAGAGCTTGTTTCTGATCTAGAGAGAAGGAAGTTCAGGGACCTTTCCCACATCAGGGGGAAATACTTAGTATTTCCTCCTCACATGAATCTGCTGCTGCCTCTCATGCTTTCCTACAAAGCAGCAGGCCCTTTCTGTAGAATCATTGCCTACAGCTGTGAAACACTGCTAATAAATGAATGAGAAAGTAGTTGTAATAGCTACTTTCCTAGTAACATCCTTTGTCCTGGCTCTAGGGAACCTTTTCCTCTTCATGCTGTTCTTACAAAATCCACTGCTGCAAAGTCAGCATGAATGCACCTTTAGATAGGCTTTTGATATGTTTCTAAAGAACTTATCATCCTAAAGCCAATTCTTTCCTTCCTTCCTTCCTTTCTTTCTTTTTTAACTGAAACATTTTTTTGCCTGCAGTGCAAGATCCAGATGAAGAAGCCCTGAGGAGGTCAAGGTAGGCAACTCCCTGTGAAAAATGTGGCTTTCTCCTTACTGATAACCAAATAATGTTTTAAAACAGCATTAAAGTTGAACGTACATTATCGTCTTTTTGTCTTAAAATAGTCTAATACATTTACTTAAAAATCACTAAAATTAAAATGCTATTAGTGAGAGGCATTTGAATGAAAAGAATAACAAATTAGCATGTTTTCAGGAAAGACGGTGCAAAATTCTGAAGTGTGTATTCAAATGTGAAAGCTTTCTGCACATGCAACTTCTGTGTACTTTACTGGGTATGTGAATGCAGTGAGTTCCTAAGACCAAGCCCTGTGTAACTACTTGATTGTGTAACTGGATGAAAATACATAATGTTGTGATAGCACTGAAATTTGTGAGCAATTTATTTGGATGACCCTGTGATTGACATTTTGATTCTCCTGAAATGATACAGTAAAGGAGTTGTTTCCATCCATATCCATAATTATTTGCTTATGTTTTCTTTGGAATAAATACAACCCAAATTTGTAGAATATGGAAGCACAGGACTGCTTTTGCTAGTGGATAAAAGTATTTGTTTCATATGATCTACCAAAACCACTGAAAAAGTGGATATGTTCAGAGATATAATAAGGAATTAAAGATTTATCATCATCTTATGTTGTCCTACAGGAAATAGATTTATTAGAGATTCTTATGTTGAGCTTAAAAACTGCAGTTGAATCGGAGTATCCTGCATGCAAGCCTGATTTTCTGTTTGCATACTTCAAATCTCTGTATCACGTTAGCTACTCTAAGCCTCTGGCTGGGTTTGTGATGTGTTTGATACTCAATCCACTTTCTCTTCATTTTTTCTTCCCCCCCCCCCCCCTTTTTTTTTTTTTTTTTTTACTGCCATGTGGCTTCTATAAAGGTTCTGAGCTTTTGATCACAGTGCAAGTTACAAATGTTGAATCAGTGAGAAAGATGTCTGTCATCTTCCTTGTGAAAATACAAGTATGCTTTCGGTTTATGTTTGCTATAAACCTTCCACTGCAGTTCACCAAAGTTCATGGCTAGGTGCCTGAACATCAGGCTTGACATTACATCCCTTGGGGATTTATTTCTTCCCTCAAATGTGCAAGCCTAATTCTTATTAAATGTATCGTGCATTATCTGTTTTGATGTAATAGCACACATCCAAATCCTTATTATGATGGGATTTAAAGTGTTGTGCTGAACTTAACAGTCCTCTGTACACATCTGAGAGTAATATGTTGTTTTAAAGAAATAATCTTTCTAGCTGTATTCTGTGGCTTTGGAAAATGCTAGATATTGGAAACTTGACATGGTATCAGATATGTTGAAAATAATTATCTACTAACACATCAACATGTGTAAATTGCACATTCTATTCAGTGTAACTTAAAGTACATGACTACATCCACTGTGCTTTGCGCATTTTCTGCCATGTTGAGGTATCATTGTGTTACCCTTTTTTTCTTTTTCACAAGGACAGTTATGGTTAGGAGTATATTTAGGCACAGCTATATTACCTGAAGTGGTTTAAGGGCGTTCATTGGTAGTAGAGGCAGGAGAGAACATATGCTAGGTAGTTCTATGGGTACAGTGCAATTGGCATGAGCTCTGGTGCAAGGAATGAAATGGGTTCTCCCTTCTACCTAACCGATAGTGCTTGCCCCATCGTGGTGGCTTGGTAGCTACCTCAAATGTTGCACATACTCCACTGCAGATTTTGTAGCAACAGCCCTGGTTATGCGTGCACCCATCATATACTACGCCTTGAGGCCTATTGGACCCCTTCTGTTTAACCTTTTGGCAAGGCCCCTGCCACTCTTGATTTTGTAAAGGATGGAAGGACCTGTGTCAGATGCACAGAATCCATGCTTTAATTCTAATCTTCCAGCACCATAACGGAGTAGAAACTCCTCTTCAGTATCTACTCCAGGCAGCCTGTACAACCACACCTTTCTCCATGCCTGCAGTTTAGGATCACCTGGAAGGCTTCCTGGGCTCCCGAAAGGAGAAGGTTTCCATGGAACTGTGGAACCTAAGTCTTGCCAGATTCAGCGTTGCATTAATCCCGTGCTGTGCTGGCATGCTGGAAGAATCCTTCATGTTCCAAAATTTAAACTGCCAGAGATTTCACTGTGTGGGGAATTCTGGTCTTGGGGCATGCTGTAAGCGATATCTCCCTGGTGCTTTCTCTTGTCTCTTTGTGTTGGTTCTTCAGTGTAGTCGGCAAGAACTGCATGAGGGGGTGAGCAGGTTTCTTCCAAACACTTGGGGGAAAAAAATTGAAAACAAACAAACAAAAAACCATGTAGCTTATTTTTGGCAGAACTGTTTTACACAAAAATAGTCACTTCTAGATTTCTGCTTCTAACTTCATGACATGCTCTGAACAGAACCCATAAAGCTTGGGAATTTTCAGGTGGCAGAATAATCCCTTCAGTTAGTATTAATGAGCTAATTGCATGACTGTCCTTTGCTCATGCTACTGCTATTTTGAAGGCACACATAAGATTATAACTTGCTATGAAAACTTTCCATTGCTATTGTGCTGATTGTTACGGAATATTTTCCGGAAAGATGGTATTCATTTCAAGCCAAACAGATGTTTCTGAATACCTTTTCCTTGAAGGGAGGGGTATATCTTTAAAGCAGTAAGGGAATTCTTAAATTTCAGGTAAGACCCTCTGTAGCTAGTGTGCTCCCATGTAACTTGAAAAAATGGCATCATGAAGTTTCACCGTTTCAGCTAGGAATACTTTACGTCTTTTAATTCCTTAAAGGCATTAAAAAATAGTTTGAGAAGTCATACATCAAGACTCCGTTAGGAGTGTTACTTGCATGACACTGTTATTAGGAACAGAAGACTAAGAAATATCAGTGAATTTGTTGGCATTTACTCTGTTTATTGTTTCATGCCTTCTTCAGCCTGAGGAGTAAAACCAGCCCAGTCTGTTCATTTCTGTTTGTCTGGTTTCACTCTCAAGTTGCGCTACATTAAGACAATTGTCTTGCATTTTGGGTGTAAATAATGAGGGGAAAATTACCTTGTTTGCAGTGAATCAGATACGTTTTGCAAATAACAAGAACATTTTATTTTCCATTCTGTTTGATATACTTCTCCTTGACTGTGCTCTCATCCACACCCTCCTCCTTCCTCTTTTTATTTACAAAACCTGAATTTAAACTATAGAACATATAGAAAAGATTAAATCCTGACAGGTGCTTACAGCTTGCTTGAGCGCCCCAGTCTGCAGTCAAAGGTAGCTAGGGGTGTTCACAGGAGGTGGCCAATACTTCACAGAACCATGCTTTGAAGATCCCATGATATTCTGCTTTTTGACACAAATGACCAGAAATATTTATGCAAATGTCAAGACTTATACTCACCTATGCTGAGAAAAGCTATAGAAAAGTACTGCTGAAACCTATGGCTGATGGTCCTTACAGGAAGGACAGCAGGATATATATATAGGCTGACCTAGGTATTACAGAATGGAAAATATTTGCATTAATTTTGCTGTTGTATGGAATTAACTTTGCTCAGTTGGGGGGGAGGGAGGGAAAAGCTGAGAGAATCTACTGGCAGGAAAACAAGGGGATTACACTGCATTTCTAGCAAAAGCAGCCCTGTAATACCAAGCACAAGTCAAAGAATATGAAGTTATATCAAGTTATTTCTCAGAAATGAACAACTGCAAAAACCCTTCATACGTGGTCCAAAAAGGATCACACAGCCTTCTTTGTGCTGATTCGAAAGCTGAGGAAAAAATCCAAATAAATTGCCGTTGCCCTAGTTATAAGGCAGGGGAGTGGTAGCCATGGTCCCTAACCCCTTTCTTTCTCCCTCCTTTCTTTCTTCTCTCTGTGTGTATGTCTCTCTCTGTCTCTGTCTTTCTTTCTCTCTCTCTCTCTTTCTTCACGCCACAGGGAAAGGTTTGAAACGGAACGTAACAGCCCACGCTTTGCCAAATTGCGCAACTGGCATCACGGCCTATCAGCGCAAATCCTTAATGTTAAAAGTTAAAAGCCCACATTTAGCAGGCAAATACATGAGACCGAGAATTACAGTAAAAAATTAACTGCTGTCCTGAGTTAGGGCCTAAGAGTGTCACACACACAGAGACAACACTTACTGCTAGGGACTTTCTCTGAGTGCCTGTCTTCTGTAGATATCTGTTGTTAGCCTGTTATCCATTCACTGTCACCAAAAGTAAAGCTAATGATACACCCAGTTCATGTTCTTCATTATAAAGTAGATGATTAGCTTTTGTCCTTTACTATATCAAATATAACTCAGTATACAGGAAAGCATTACTATTGTACTCTCTTGACTTTAATTCTAGAAGAAAATTAGAGGGAAGTTATGGACAGTATTTCTTTAGGGGGAAGAGGAATGAGACTTACTGAGTTTTACTGCTGTAAAGATAATTAAGCAGGAGAAAGAAAGATGAAAAGGAAAACTGACTGAGCCTGGCCTAGACTTTGCTAAATGTACAACATACTTACTTTGCATAGCTGAATGATGCCATTTGAAATAAGATATTAGCAATGTGAAGTTGTGTTTCTTCCATATATTATACTGGTAGAAGTCATTTGTTGAAACCATTGCTGTAAGTTTTCTGTTGGAAACCTGAATTTGTCATTACATGAAAGCTAAAGATAGCTGTGGTTGCTCAGGATCTGTGAGAAAATTACTTTTGCTAGAGGTGATTTAGGAGTGAGAAGAATATATAGTACTACTGGTGCACTGAAGTTTTTAAAAGCATCTTGTAAGTTTTAAGGAATATGTTGCCCATTCTGTATTGCTCTTGCTTTGACCCACATTTTTTCTGTATATAGCAGCATGCTTTATCTGAAATAAAAGGTTTTAAAACTAAAATAATTATGTGCCTGTTTTACACAGTACTTTATTCTGTTTTAAACCAATAACTGCTTCAACTGACTATTGAAAGAAGAACTTTTCTTTCCACAATAGGAATTTGGTCAAAAAGCTTTCCTCTA